ATATATATATATATATATATATATAGGAGGTCACTTAAAAATAAAAACAAAAAAAAAAGGCAACAGAAAAACATCTTTTAAAATACTGTGTCAGTTGACCCTTCCCTCCCACCCATCCCCAACCTCCCCCCAAAGTAGCTATGACTCTATAATGTGATTCACATTTAGGTTTAAAATTCTAGCTTTCACCATGGTCTCATAGAAACAAAACTTCTCTGCGAAGCACAGAACTGCTTTGCAACGTCAACGAATTCGAAGGAAAAATCAACCCCCACCCCCCCCGTGCCAAAAGAGCTTCTCAGTCAGTTACCTGCAAAAAGTGGCTGGGAGGGGGGTCAGATATTTTTAGGCTAAGCTCTTTGAACAAAGAAAGGATGAGTCCTCCCCCCTTTTTCAGCCGTGTGAACTAGGAGTTTATGGCATTCGTCTACTTTTTTTTCGAACATTTAAAGATAAGGATTTTGTACAGTAATGATTAATACTTCAACATAAATATTCTCCTACATTATATACTAGTTTTCCTTTGTACATGCGGGGTGAGGGGTGGGAAAGGATTTTCAACAAACATGGCACATGCTATATGCGTTTCCTCCTCTTGGCTACAAGAGTTAGGATGAAGAGGATAAAAGCAAGACTCTGTGGCAAATGGGTCCATGAGCACAGTCTGAAGGTGGAGGGAGTGGAGAGAGGGAGCTGATTCCTCCTCCAGGGTTCAAGATGCTGATCTACTGAGTGCCTCAAAAAAAACCACCAGCGCACACCTCTAGTGTAAACGTTAGCACAGAAGACCACACTTATCCCTCAGTGCTTCTGAGGAGCTGCTTCCCCACGCTTCTTTTTGCTTGAACAGGTGTGAATAGCTGGTCATTTTTTTTCTGTTTTGTTTTGCTCTGTTTTGTTGTTTGTTTTTTGTTGTTTTTTTTTTTGCAGTGAGAACAAACGATATCAGCCAGTAAAGCACATGACAGTTATCGTCAATAAAGCCACACAACCTGGCACACGTAGGGCAAAGAACCACAAAATAAAAACTCAGTACACTTAGAGTAATAATAATAATAATAATCATTAAAAAAGCATTAGGAGGTTGGTTTTTTCTCTTTTTTTTTTTTTCCTGTCTACACTGTACATACAGATGCTATGCTGGGAAAGCTGCTGTCTCGCACAGTCATAACATGAGTCAACATTGCTTGAGACATAAATCCAATACAGTTACAACTAAGCCAATTCACTGAGTAGTCTCCTTTGAGACAGAGCTTTTAGCTGAGGTTTGTGCTGAGGGCAATGCTGCAGAGGAACCTGGAACACAAGAATCTGATGGGTAAGGAACCAAATCGGGGCTTGGCAGATGAATGTTTTGCTTTTAGAGGATACAGTGCTAGCTAGGTAAGGAAACCAAAGCCAACAACCAGTGGATCCTGCAACTCCATCTACCTAGGCAGGATCAGGGGCCTCACCAGACCCACCTCTGCAGCTTGGGCCTGGTGAGGAGAACAGGTAAGATCTGAGGACAGCTGAGGTCAGGCTCTGGGGACTAGCCCGAGCAGCAGTTGCTTCCATGAGTGAGGCTGGAGAACAAAGCCTCCCCAAGGTGCATTGATGTGATCTCCATTTGCTTTACTTTGTGGAACATGTGATGAACTGATCCAGTTGTCAAACACACTTTCCCCTATAAGACTCCAAAAGCATCATTAACAGCACTTAAACTTGGTTTGTGAAACAGAAAGAAGTCTAAATATAAAAATAATTCAAGCAGATTCTCTTTACAAATTGTATAGTGAATTCAGTATTTGGCAAGACCGTTTTTACTACATAATGAGCTCCTGAGTGTTTGTCTATTAGCTAAAAATTTCCTATTTTCTTTAAGCCATAAAGCAAAGAAAACCATATACTCAAGTTATACTGAAGTCATGACTTCATTTATGAAAAGAGGTTTGACCAGAAACTCAGTGCAAGTGGCAAAGTTGACCATTACTGTACAGTATCTGCGAGAAA